CAGCTTGTAACACTCCAAAGAGAAAGGAAAACTTGAAATCGCATCATATGACCCCTTTAAATATTATGGATGCCGGATCTAGTTCTGTTAAGATTGTTTTCTCTGTTGCTTTGTTCACTTTGCCCCCAAATCTGAATTAGTTTTCAAATCCTGCCACACTGTTTGCACTGTCATTTTACAAATTATGAAATCTGATCTGCTTATTCAGATGGCATCGCCTATATCTCTGTGCATCTGCATCAGCTGATATAGTAACGATGTAAGCACCGGCACAATGGCAAGACCACCTGTTTGTAGTCTGATCAAAGTCGATATGTCCTCATCTGTGTGTGTGTGTGTGTGTGTGTGTGTGTGTGCCCACACAGTTTAGACCTTTAGCACATGGCGTGGTAGTTTATCACTGCTGCTTAGTTCTCACGTTAGATTTATTCAGTGTCTGCACAGTGGCATGTACAAATTTCCGCATCATGCCATTTTTCTACACTCGTTGATAGTGATATGCTGTTAAACAAAAAAAATTGGCCAATCAGAATTTGAACTTTAATAAACCTTACTCAGGGTTGTGCCATGTTTAATTTTTGACAGGAATGAAATAAAAGGTTGTAAAGGGTTCGAAGGACAGTAAGTTCAATGGATTGTACTGTTGTTTAACAACATACCGATTGTTCAGCTTATGAGACATCTTTTTGAAATGAACTCTCAGTAGACAAAAACTCCATAAAACAGCTTTAAAAGTTGTGAAAATTACGTGATCTAGGACCTTTACAGTGTGTGTTATTGTGAAGACTGTAAGTCTGTCCCTCACAGCCTTGTTTTTATCTGTGTTAAATTCAAAATACCTGATTAAGGTCTATAGACAGCTATGTGAAGCAACATTTTAGGCCATTGTAGGCAGGGCTAACCTCAAAACTGGCCAACGGAAATCGATTGACAAAAATCTGATTTGGGAAAAGAAAGTCTTGTTGTCATCGCATCACATCTGGTTTCAAATGTAAGGTGCTTTTCACAGCGACTGTCTCATAGTGAGAGTTCTTGTCTGTGCATATCCAAATACTGAGGGAGTTTGTTCTTCATATATGCCACACTTATTCACTGATTCTCTTTTATCCCACGCCTTCTGAAAACTCACATACATATCCCTTTGCTCTCTGACTATTCAAAAGAAATGAAGGAACATATCCAAGCACAAGAGTACTGACAGTGGTGGGACAGAGTGCACGCTCGAGTTCCATGTCACTGACTCACTTCGAGCTATTAGCGGGCCTGTTTGCCCCTGAGATGAGAGAGAATGGTCACTATGCACGTGTGTGTGTGTGCGAGTGTGTGTGTGTGTGTGTGTGTGTGTGTGTGTGTGTGTCTGTCGGGCAGGAATCGTTAATGTCACTGTGTTCCTCTCACAGATTTAGAGAATTTGGTATCCTTTAGTATGATACACATGCCTTGTTGGTGTTTCTGTTGCGGTTTGAGCAAGACCGAAGCTCTTCGGGACACATTATTTAATTTATTACATAATTACATTTTATTACATAAATCCCAGAGTGGGCAAGTTTGCCTGATTTGTCAGCGTGGGTGAGTCTCTGTATGTTTCCAGCATGGCTGAGCATGTGGGATATTCTAGCATGGGCAAGTGTGTCTGATTTCAGAGTGGGCGGCTGCGTATGTCCCACCCGTGTGAGCAAGAATGCGCACTTGGACGTTAATGTAGCCACCAACATGCCAACCAGATACTGGCACACTTCCCTGGCCACTCCTGAATGATTGAGAAATCCACCTTACTTAAATAGAAGCCATACTGGCTATGTTCACATAACTCATGTTTAGGATTCACAAACATATTTACCAACAGGTGTGGCTCTTGAATTTTCCTGTTCATAAAAGAGCAGACAGAAGTGGCTTGTATACTTTTTCAGTGAACAAATAACCGAAGTTGAGCTCCTGTTTGTCACTATTCTTGCAATACCTCTGAATAACTATTGCAACAAAAGTGGGATGGCATTGGCAAAATACTTCTAAATCTTTCTTGTTCCATGCAAAAACAAATGACTTTTGATGGGTCCTCAAAAAGATGCACAATCTCATGAGCGAATGAACAGTTTGAATCAGATTAACTGAGCCAGTGAATCATCCAGAGCCATTACTGATCTTCCTTACTGAATCCCAAATGTTTTTTTTCTGTCATGTCGAATTCAAACTAAATGGAGAACCATTACTTTGTGTACTTCGCCTGACTTGACATCAGCCATAAAAAAATATATTCACAACAGTTTTATTCTTTGTATGGAAAATCATTTAGACATTTATATGATATTGAACATTACCATGTTTCTATGTCAGACTTGACACTAAACTGCAGTCTGCTGAGATTCAGGTCTCTCAGGTTGCTCTTTCAGTTCTAATTGTGTATGTCACCTCACCTGTTCAGTTATCTCATATTTCCTGTTTTGGTCCCTCCTCTTCCTCTCTGCTGTGTGTTCCAGGTGCTGAATCAGACGGAGGATCACAGGCAGCGTGTTTTGCAGGCGGCTGCCAAGACTGTCCGGGTATGGTTCATCAAGGTCCGGAAAATGAAAGCCATTTATCACACTCTGAACCTCTGCAACATCGATGTCACTCAGAAGTGTCTGATTGCTGAGATCTGGTGCCCCGTGTCGGATCTAGACTCCATTCAGTTTGCCCTGCGTCGGGGCACGGTGAGGACACACACTCATGCATACACGTATATTGATTGATGTTTCTGTAAAACTACTAAGATCTTAAGCCAGAGGAGGTTGGTACAGTGTCTCAAAGCTTCAGGCTGCTACCTAGTATAACTGAATCCAGCAAATCAAATCACAACATAACTTTCCCTCTTTATAATTCCATTTACTCTCTAATGAGCGCATCACTCAATTCCCATTGCAATAGGAAAACATTCATTGTCCCATTCATTCATATTTATATGCATGATATCTGATCTCAAATCAGCATCTTAGATGTTTCAATTGGCCTGCGTCATTGTCATTTGAACTCTAATTAGGGATGTACTAAAGCTGTATTTAGGCTAATCTGAGAAATAATATAGGCTTATTAGAGCTGTTGTAGTTTATAGATATTTTAAAGACCCCGTGATATGGTTTGAGACAGTATATCCTATTGAAACAAAAAATTGTTGTTGAACGATTTAAAGCAGTTTTGGGACATATTTAAGTAAAAGAATCTGAGATACAGGATTTGTTTTGAGATCGTATGGGTTTGATCTTTATGGACATAAAGTATTAAGTATTCATTTGTGCAGGTCTTAAAAAAAAGTCCTGTTGTAAGCTGCATTACACTGGAGCTGTATTTAGGCCAATTTACCACCACACACATGTTGTCTCTAAGGAGAAGCCGATTTGTTCTTGTCATCACATACAATGACTCACACTTTGTAAATGTGCCTTTAGCTTCTATTATACCAGGACACACAGACACATGCACACGGGACTGAGTGTTAGGACGGAATGCCCAGATGCTTTTACATTGAGTCATGAGACCCCTCAGATCAAAGTTTGAATTTCCCTGTGGTCTAGAGCAGCTGAAACCTGATCCCCTTCTCACAGCACCACAAGTGGACTCTGTCTATCACTTCTGCTCTGATGAGAAAACCGATAAAACATATAAATTCAGATTTACATTAAATGAATTGGAAAATACATAAATGTTTCATGAAAAAGTTGAAATATGTATTTAAAAGACATTTATAATGTGTTTTTATTGCATACCAGTATACAGTGCCTTTATTTAATAGCCATTAAGTCAGAATGATTGTTTGTCAATGCTTTGGCACAGCAATCTCAACTTCAACTAAACACCTGAACCAAATTTGTATATACAAGTATGTTCTCCGCTATGTTATGACAGATATTAAAGAGAGATTGGTTTGCATAGTATTTATTTCCTGATTTATTACACAGTTCAGTGAATTGATTGGTATAGTAATGTGCTGAAGATCCCTTCAGTGATGGATTGTAGATTCTCATAGCTTATTCACAGCAAATGGTGTGATGCCTCTGTGAGGTCCGGGTTCTCACACCTTGCAGCAGGACAGTGAGGGCAGAGTGGGTGTAATTCCTGTAAGCCCTGAGGTGAGAGGTTATAGTGTAAGGGTCAGAGGTCACTGCAATGTTAACCTTATAATAGTCACATTGTAAGAGGATTAACTGCTCACACAAATTCACCTTCTGTTCTTCTGTGTCTGCCTCTCAGTCTTTATAGGGTTAAAACCCTATAAAGACATAGTTTATGTAATGCTGGACTTACAGCAATCTACAGATGGATTCTTACAGCCAATTTGTAAATCCATGTAAGGCATTGTTTGGTAACAGAAAAGTGGCTTCCTTCTGAACTTACACTAGAAGTGTAATAGTGTTAAGTTCATGTAGGCAGTCTGTTGAAATGTGAGGGATTGTGCTTGCATGCTAGTTCAAAGGCTGTACGTACACATGGCATTCTTCCTCATGCCTTATTTAACTAGCAGCTATTAATATCAACTGTCTTACACATTGCCTCCATACGAACTTACATGCTGTAGACTCAGTACTCAAGTTCAGTTCACAATTTAAGCAAACAAGTTTCCACAGATAAATGAACATTTACATAAATGCAATGTAGAGTTGCAAAGATATGTCTATACGTGTGGGCACAGGCATGCATAAAACTGAGCCACTGTTTACTGGGAAGCAAACTGGAGCATTTGTTTTATTGCATGACTGTTTGTTTAAATTTCGCTCTATTTCATGCAGGAGAAAAGTGGATCCACTGTTCCCTCTATCCTGAACAGAATGCAGACCAAACAGACCCCACCCACCTACAACAAAACCAATAAGTTTACCTCTGGCTTTCAGAGCATCGTTGATGCCTACGGCATCAGCAACTACCGGGAAATCAACCCAGGTAACCCTGACCTTTAATATTTTTGTCACAGAGCAAGTCCCAAAGCCCTCTGTAGTGATTAAAATGAGCTGCAGATCAGCAAGTCCTGTTGTGCTACTTTTTTTTTTTTTATTAATTAATTAATGTTTTTTTATTTATTACATTTTTTTTTGTGAGTGTCAAAACATATTGTTTGTATCCATGCTTGTGCTCATTTGTTCAGCTCCATACACCATCATCACCTTCCCCTTCCTGTTTGCGGTCATGTTTGGCGATCTGGGTCACGGTGTACTCATGACCTGCGCTGCACTTTATTTGGTACTGCGAGAGAGCCGATTAATTGCCCAGAAAAACGACAATGAGGTATCCATCCTCCCATCCATTTATCCACTGATCTCATAATTATTGTTTGATCATCTTGTTCAAATCAAATATTATTCATGTCATATAGCCAAGTATAGATCCTGAATACAGAAAATATTGATCCTAATTGTTTTTAACTAGTGATTTTGTGTTATTTTGCATGAAAATTAAAGTTTCGAATGTGAATAATAAAAGTTTTATTATGGTTTACTGGGATGCACCATCACTGTTTTGTGTGTTAAACACAATCTACTAAATATAGACAACTTCATTATACAGAAAAATAACAAATTAAAAAAATATACATTCATAATCTATGACAAAAATACTATTATAAACTAGATTAGTGGATATTTTATCAGCAAAAGTTACTCTAGAAAAATTATGAGTGCACAATCATTTTATAAAATCTAAACATTTAGTAAAAAAAAAAAATATTATTTAGTGGGGAAGAAATTGAAGTGAATAAGTGTAGGACTAAATCTGGTAAAATGTTACATAATTACTCTTTGTATTGTAAAATGCATCCATGAAAAACAAGTAAATATATTTATATATAAATATATACTGAAAATTAAAATGTATTATTTTATAATATATTTCTTTTACATTTATAGCACAGTAATGAGGCAGCAACATATGATAGATAAGACAACAAGAAAGGCTATTAACATTCTTTCAATACAGAGCAGCACAAAGCGCTTGCATCACGTGCACAGAATGATGTGCTTGAAGCAACTCGGAGTCACAGCGTGCAGCGCTCCGCATAGAAAAGTTCAAAGCACAAAGGGAAGAGATATTGATGTGTAGTGTATTATATCTGTGATAGAGTCTTTTCTTTTAACAGTTTTAAATTTCAGTTGCTGTGCACGTGAAGAATGATTCATAGTGCTCTCTACTCCAGTGTTGTGATCTAACAGACACACGGTAGAAAGTAACATAATTTAGAAACAGCACTAAACTCCAGCAAGATAAAGTCCTTTTATGCAAAACCATTGATCTTTATCTACAGATCAAGTATAATAATAGGAGCACTGAATCATCTTGAGAGAGTTTCACCGTCTTGACTGTCGTAACCGAATGCGACACACTGTTTGAATGCTGAATGGAGGATGACTGACGAGTTTACATGAACTTGAATTTAATGACTTAAATATTCATCTGCACCTCACATTATACTATGAAAAGGCTTCAGAACACTTGGAACCTATTGCACAAAAACATTATGGTGCTTTATAATGTTTTTGTGCCTTTCATGGGGCTTAATAATAACACAGAATAGTATACGCACAATATCGGATTTGGATCTGTCTCATCTGACCGATTCCCGATCCTGCAGCAAATGGCAGTATCGGAGCCGATACGATACTGAGTATCAGATCGGTGCACCCCTAGTTTACTTCACACTAAAGCTAAGTGTGACATTTATTAGAGTGGATTTGTGTGATGATTGTTTTAAGTTTAGTTTTAAAAGTTATAAGATTTATAATTTTCTGTTAAAAAACATGGTCTGAAAATGTACAGTTTAGGCATAAATTATGGCTTTTACTTAAATTCAAGGAACCTTGATAGTAATTGGTAAACAGATGCTTTTTAACAAATGTTTTAAATATACTTTTTTTTTTGTTGATTCTACATTTATTTGGTTATAAATCACAGTGTTCTCTCTCTCTCTCTCTCTAGATGTTTAACATGGTTTTTGCGGGCCGTTACATTATTCTCCTGATGGGAATATTTTCAGTCTATACTGGGATTATCTACAACGACTGTTTCTCCAAATCTCTCAATGTCTTTGGCTCGGGCTGGAGTGTCAGACCCATGTTTGGAGAGAAAGGAGGCAACTGGACGTGAGTTGTTCATTCCAACCCATTGATTTTACATTGATCTTGCTCTGAGGGTTGTTGTTGTTGTTATTGTTATTGTTGTTTTGTTTTTTTGAGGCCCTCAAAAAATTGTACATAATTTTATCATAATCAGCCACTTTTTGAATTGATCATTCAGATTAGGGGTCGACCGATATGTGTTTTTCAAGGCCGATACCGATTATTACAGATCAAGTAGACCGATAACCGATATTTTGAACCGATATATATATGTCTGGTATAAAAATGAAAATTAATGTCAAAATTAAATTCATCCAAACTTTGACAAATTCCGTGACATTCCGCGTCAGTAAATTCATACAGTAAATTCCATTTATATGACTGGATTTCGCGATTCCGTCCGCGTTTTCCACATCGCGGAAATCATAGATAATATTGAGGTGTTTTGCAACTTCAGTGTAACAGTTAGTGGCTTGCAATTTATTGCTTAACTTAAGCAACGTCTGCTGCTGCCTTACCTTTTGAGAGACAACTGATGCTGCATGATCACCGAAGCAGCTCCAGTTAGCAAGCGCTTTAGGAGTGAGAGTGAATTCCGCTTTGATTGGTCTGACTTGTGACTCCCAACAAATCAGATGGGTGGTGGGCGGAGACTGCTTTAGGCCACAGAGTGGTGAGTTCTGACAGGCTGCATCAGAGCCAAATAGCGCGTTTCAAAATTAAGTTATTTTATCGGCGAATCGGTTTTGAAAATGGCCGATACCGATAATCATAAAAATGCTTAATATCGGCGCCGATAATCGGTCGACCCCTAATTCAGATTAGATCTTCATACATGGCTAGTAAGTCATGATTATTTTTTAACACTGATTTTCCATTGATTCTTTCAGGTCTAAAACACTGGATGATAACCGGGTATTACAGCTGGACCCTGCTGTGCCAAAAGTATTTAATGGACCCTATCCAATTGGCATTGACCCAGTAAGCACCTAGTTTCTGAACAGTTCTGTGGCAAAGATAGTCTAACATCAGCCCTTTAAGAGCAGTTTCCTTTCTCATCTTACAGATCTGGAACATTGCCACCAATAAGCTGACGTTTCTGAACTCGTTCAAGATGAAGATGTCGATAATTCTGGGAGTCATCCACATGACGTTTGGAGTTACTCTCAGTCTTTTCAATCACCTGTACGCTCTTGTCCGTTGTTACTCTCAATAGATCTGTATTAACATTTAATGCTAATTTAAGTCTGTTTGTCTACGTATGAAGGTACTTCAACAAACCTCTGAATATTTTCCTGGGTTTTATTCCTGAGATCATCTTCATGGTCAGTCTTTTTGGCTACCTGGTGCTGCTCATTTTTTACAAGTGGTTGGCATATGATGCCAAGAGCTCAAAAGAAGCCCCCAGCCTTCTAATAGCCTTCATCAACATGTGCCTCTTCAGCTACAATGATCCCACCAACAAACCTTTTTACACGGGACAGGTACACACACAGACAAATTCATCAATATATGTGGCAAATGAGACAACTTGACATTTAAAACTAATGTATCTCTCTTTTTCTCTGTCTCTGTAGATTGTAATTCAGTGTCTGCTAGTTATTACAGCTCTCGCCTGTGTACCGTGTATGCTTATAGTAAAGACCCTAGTAATGCGCAGGCAATACCTCTGGAAAAGACATCTGGTAAGGACCTGTTTGACACGCCACATTCGAGATTGCTACTCGTCCAGTTTTGAAGCTTTTTATTTTTAGACAGTGTCTTTTGTTTTTATCTTGTAATTTCCGTGTCCAGAATAAGGCGTATGTGGGATGTGGAGTGTTTAGATTGTAAACATGAACAATCATTACTACATCAGTAATGAAATTCTTCAGAATATTCATTAATGTCCACCTGGATGTCTCATAAGTAATTCTCAGCCCTGGAAAAGTCATGGAAATTAATACAATCTTTGAAAGATCATGTAATTTTTTATTGTTAATATACTCTACTGGTTTGGGGTTAGTAGGATAGTTAAATATTTTTTTAATTAGTCTCTTATGCTTATGAAGGCTGCATTTATTTGATAAAACTTTAGTAGAACTGAAATATTGTATTATTTTGTTTTAGAAAATTATTTTTTATAATACAATTTTATATATTTATATATATATATATATACTGTGTGTATATATATATATATATATATATATATATGCATGTATTACAATTTAAAATAACAGGTTTCTATTTTAATATTTTCAAATGTAATTTATTCATTAATTTACACCAGTCACCAGTGTCACATGATCCTTCAGAAATCATTCTAATATGCTGTTTTTATTGGTTAGAAAGCATGGGAACCATGATAACCTAGATTATTATATAATGGCTCAGCTAAAACATATGCATTACTTCTACACACAATCATGACCTAGTGTGACTTTTGCTGCAGGGAATGCAAAACTTTGGGGGAATCCGTGTGGGTAACGGCCCCACAGAGGATGAAGCTGAGATCATACAACATGACCAGCTTTCCCAAAACTTAGAAGAAGAATTGCCTGAGGTGAGGGAACATTTTCTTTCTTGTAATCTGTCTCCCTGTCTCTCTCTTAACTAGCCTATATAAATAACTATTAATTTATTTTACTCATTAAATAGTTTACCCATCCTTGTTTCTTTTCCATTTTACAAAGATGCTTTAGTTTGTGAACTCTAACAATAGTCTTTCTTTAGCCAGAGAATGACATAAGTTCTGCCAACCCATTTATCTGGGTATTTGTTTGGGTCAGGTTTTTCTGTCCGACATGTGATGTCATCTGTTGATCCTGAGAATAACTTAACGCTTTATCATGAGAATAAGTAAAGTTAATTTCTTCATAGTAATCTATGTGAAACTTGTTTCCACCCACACGGTGACAAGTTACACCCAGGTACCAAAAACTGCATGTAAAAACTGCCGCAGTTGGCAGTGGGATCGCTCGCCTGCAGTGGGCATTCCATTCTGTGACTCACTGGATCTGTGATCTGCATACCAATGCTGGTCTAAACTGGGGCAGCCCCTTTTAAAAGCACTATCTCTCCCCCCAACCACTGTATCCCATGGCCACCAGCCTCAAAACACTAAACTTCTCTGGAAATAAAATGGAGACAGATAACCTGGATTATTTTGAGGTTTGAGATGCAATCATTTCATTGCATTAGTGCCAAATAATCTTCCTCTTTCCATTCCAAACAGGCCTGCCAGTAAACCACAGTCAGCCATTAAAGTTAATTTACTGGAGACTGAAGTCAAATCCCCAGGATTGTTTATCTCTCTCATTTTGGCCTTTTCAGTGACTCTATAAAGTAATTGGTCACTGAAGCCGCACTTAAAAATGTATCAATTTACAAAAACCAAGTGGCATCTGCATACAAATGACACTAGACCTTGTAAATAGCTTACATTTCTCAACCGATTTTTAGTGGACAACTGGACATATAATTCAGTCCCCCTCAGTTTCGCAAAGGTGTCCTAGCAGGTGTAGTTCATCACATCACATTACTCTTTTGACAAACAGAAAATGTCCAAAATATTGTCCAAATCATGTCTGTTTTAAACCTAGCAAATCTTTTTATGATGTGTTTTACTTGTGTTTTTTAAATTAAATGCCACTTGCTTTATTATATTTTATTTAACGCACTGTCATTCATTTGTAGGTGTGACTTAAGTGTCTGAATACTTTTTGGGGCAACTTCATTTTGCTGTGACTGACAATAAATGTGTTGGTCAATAGATCTTTGCATTTTCTGTAAATCTAAGTGTATTTTTCCTCTCACTATCTCTTCATCAGATTCTGTCATTAACCCTATTTTAACCCTGTGTGTCTGTCTGTGCATGTGTCTGATTACCTTCCAAGCTGTCAGAGGAGGAAGTGGTAAGAGCAGACAGCCTCTCGACTCTCTGTAGATGTTTGTTGTCATTTTTTACATTTGTGTGTGTGTATGTGCACCATCACCCATCCAATCCTCTTGCTTGGTGGCTTGTGTGTGTTACTGCAGGCTTCAGTCTTGGGTTGTCTCCTGTAGTTGGTGTTTGGTTCTTTTCCAGTACAATTAGATTCTTTTCTAGACATTCATTTTCCTTTTTGTTAGCCACCATCATTACATAGGAATGATCCAGTGAGCCGTGCTGGAGTGTAATTACGATATAAATCACACCAAGTGATGCTGATGATCTGAAAGGCCCTGTGCTGTGATTTTGTTCTCATGCCCGTGAGATTCAGGGCTGCTAATCATGCTGTGATTGAGCTGGGAGTGGGATTAGATGTTTGTATTTTCATTAGTCTGAACTGGTCTTATTGCTCTCTTTCTTTCTCTCTTTAGTTTGATTTTGCAGATGTTACAGTGCATCAAGCCATTCACACTATAGAATACTGCTTAGGCTGCATCTCAAATACCGCCTCTTATCTACGGCTTTGGGCGCTGAGTCTGGCCCATGCACGTAAGTAATACTCACTTTTATTGTACTGATTCCACCCAAAGGAAGTATGAACAGAATTCCCATGATCATGAAAAACCTGGTAATATCAGCGAATTTTGGAACTGATTTCCAGGCCTGGGAAATACATAGAAATTAGTTTATGCTTAGTTCTAATTTATAGACTAGCAATTAAAGTCTTTGTAATCTCTAATAAATAAAAAATGAAATAAAATCCATGCACTATTCATGTAATGGAAATTCATGAATTGCAACCCTGTACAAATGTCAGTATGTTTTTCCTCTCAATTTTTTTTATTGTTTACAAGGTGTTTCTTAAAAAGTGTTTCTGTTTTCTTACAGAGCTCTCTGAGGTCTTGTGGTCAATGGTGATGCACATGGGCCTCGCTTCTAGGAATTTTGGTGGATTCTTTGCCCTGTCAATCATCTTTGCCTTCTTTGCTACACTGACAGTGTTTATTCTGTTGATCATGGAAGGGCTGTCTGCCTTCCTTCATGCTCTCAGATTGCATTGGTAAGTGCACACGCACAATGTTTGCCTTTATAAATTAAAGCATTTAAAGTTTAAAGAGCAGATGACTCTTTGTTGCCCCTATCAATGGCTACATACACACTGCTAGTTAATCACAGTTGGATTGACTCTTCTGAGTGATATTTACACACAAAATTTAGTTTGTGAGAACTGCATTCTAAAACCGAACTCACTTCCTGAAAAGATGCTACCACGATTTTTATCTAATCTATGTCCAAAAAAAATGGTGCTAGAAAATAATCACATTTTATTTTATTTTATTTTATTTCGTTTTTGTATTTTTTTATGCCCTGCAATCCACTGACCTTGTTTCCCCACTTATTTTCTGTAGGGTGGAGTTCCAGAATAAATTCTACACTGGACAAGGCTTCAAGTTCATGCCTTTTACATTTGACAGCATTCTGGAGGGCAAGTTTGAAGACTAAACCTCATTCTCTCCCTCCAAACTATCAGATTGCTTGTGAGATTTCATGATTTGTGTGAACACTTTGACTTTGTAAGGCTCTAAATTTCTCAGGTGTTCTACATCAGGAAAGAAATGGAATAATTTACAAGCAGGTAAACAAGATGTAATTAGTTGAAGCTGAAAATTATAGATCTGCAAAACATATTCGCAACGATTTCATAACTCTTCAATTCTTGCATCAATATATATATGGTATGTAATAATTCAAACTCGTTTTGTATAACTTCAAACCAGTCTCTTAAATTATTAGAGTTTGTTTTTTATGTATCCTTTATCCTTTAAGTTGACACATTTATATAATAGATCTCATGCAAAGGGACCTCATTTCAAATACAGCAAAGAAAGCTTCACTTTATGGCATTTCACAAGCTTCTGCTGAGACGATGATATCCTCATCAAGCATATCTGAATAATAGATGCAGATAATCCCCTCAGATTTATTGCAGATCTTTGCATTCCTTCAAAAACATAAGTAAAGAATAATTATATTTTAGTTAGCTTTGAACTGTGTTGCCGGTGTTTTTTTTTTTGTTTGTTTTTTTGGTGTGTGGTTTGCTATTAGGATTAAATGCAAATGCACATCTAAATTATGTCAATCTCATGAATCTGCTGCAGTGCCCAGTTCTGGGTTTTTTGATTGTTGTTTAGAAATGAGTTTACAACATTCGCATGCATTGGCTCCTGAAGAAAATGTGTTGGTTTGATAGATGTCAGAGGGAGTTTTGGAGAAATTAACTATACCAAGTAAAAGCAGTTAGTGAAGTTGAGGGATTATGTCTGTTTTGTTTGCCAATAAAGGGGAAGGAGTGGACCAGAACTCATTTAGTTTTTTTTGTTTTTTGCATACATGTGAGAAAATATATGTTAATGAATCATGTCAATATGTGTATAATACAATTAATTTAATAATCATTATTAATAATTTATAGTATAGTATATGATACCTAAAATTTTAATGTTAATAAACATTACATAATATTTCTGTTTTTTTTTTAGTGTTATTGCTATGGTTTCAATGTAGCCAAGCTGATATTTAGAAAGACAGCACTCATACTCAGGCAAAATTTGATCAGTATTTTTCTACACAAACAAACAGTACCAAGCTTTATAGTTTCCCCTCTCCCATCTTAAAGAGTCCTTTAATCGCTCATACTTGCTAGAGAGGAAACTCTCATTCCAGTGATGCTGGGGTGATAAGCGAACATTAAAAATAAATAAATAAAACAGCTCCTCACTCATCAAAATCACACAACTCTGCTTCCACTCCACACCACTCTCATACTCTGGTCTGGAACTTGGCAAACGCCATCGGAGCCATACAAACAGAAATGTCTTTGTCCTGTTGAACTAAATATTAATGCACTTGAAACACAAAGTTTAAAAACGTTATTGTTATACAAGTGTCCATTTATCTAGACTCCTTTATTGTAATGCCTATGGTGTTTCCAGTAGCGCAACATGTCTTTGACTATTTTCAAGATCAGGTTTACACTTTAATGAGTCATAAATCGATTTGAGTTGTTTGTCTCATACTCTTGCGTAAATGAATGGGGTGGGTATGTATTCTTGTGTCCCTTGCCAGGCTCTAGGGAGGGTGGAGACTCCCCTTAAAGGGTCAGTGTGGGTGTGACCTTACAGTAAGTGATCACAGTAGAGGGCTGGACTAAGGAGGGAAATGGAAGACCTGACGGACGGGCTTCACAGGGAGCTGTGGTCACACACACTCCCACAAACCTTGGAGAGAGAGTCTGCTTCCACCGACTGGCCGAGGTCCCAGAGTAGACTTGACGAAAAGAGGAAGGGAGGGAAAGTTTGAGGCATTATAGCAAACCTAGAGAGTAGTGCATGGTGGTAGTAGGTAGTACATGTGACTTGAAAGAAAGATTGGTTAGAAGTAGCCAAGAAGAGTTTGAAAGAGTTGCCGAAGCTTGTTGCTTGCAAGTTGGAGTCATTCCGCTCCTATTGCTAGGTGTCTACTGTCATTCAAGTCTTTTTTTAGTGCTTTATTTTTACCCTAGGACGGCATTCTTGCACACAAGTGCCACAAGTGTACATGCTTCTGCCCTCTGTCTGCAAGTAAGCTTGTGTGTGTTCCATCGGAGTCTACTTGAAACCAAGCCATGGCCGACACAGACTTCAAACTGGAGCGTGCCATCTTCGCCGAAGTCTCTGATGACGATGAGGAGGTCGCCTTGGTGCCTGCTGCCACCAAACCTGCCACCACCTCCAAGGTGTTCAAATCAAAACGAGGTGATGACGATGACCCAGCAGAAGAGGTGGACCTGGTGTTGGGGCCAGGACTCGATGGAGGTGGCAGTGGTGAGGCCCAGAAATCCGAGGCCCAGGCTACCGGTATGATGGTCCTGGCACTCCTAGACCATATCATAGGTGTGGTGGACCAGATCCAGCAGACTCAGACAGGTCTCGAGGCCAAGCAGGAGACCATGGAGAAGAACATGAGCAGCATCCAGACAGAACTGGCCAAGCTGGCGAAGAGTCATGTTGGAACGGCTGGGACGGTCAACAAGCTCCTGGACAAGGTGCGGAAGGTGAACGTCAACGTGAAGAGTGTGCGCACGGACCTGGAGAAGCAAGCGGGACAGATAAAAAAACTGGAGAACAATGAACATGAGCTCCTCAAGAGGAAGAACTTCAAAGTGCTCATCTTCCAGGTGAGTAATGGGTGCTTGGCAGAACGTCTGATTGCAAAGTCTTTGATATCTAAGCCTGGCATCCCGTCTCTTTTCATTTGTCTTAACTAATGGATACTAATTAGTCTTTTAGCTCATACTTAATTCAAAAGCAGCTAAAAGGAACCCTCAAGCAACCCTTACTCAACTGCATGGCTCAGTTCTTGCAGGGTTTGAACCTACAGTAGTTTGGTTACCATTCCCAGCTCTAACCAATGGGCTAGATCACCTTCTGATTGTGGAACTAGAGCTAATTGTGTTTGGTTATAAAAGCTTGAGTTCAGGTGGTCTGTGGTCTTTTCCTTGCTGTTCTAGTTTTTTTAGAACAAATCCAACTGTTGAAACAGCAATTTTAGTTTGACCAGATGTTTTGTTGTTTAGACTGCAGCTGCTTTTGCTAACAGTTCCACACTGGCTCATAGTAATGATGCAAACTTATAGAAATCTGGGGGGAAAAAATTAAATGTGATCATATTCAGACCGAGACGCATTAATAAATGATTTGATTTCAAACCATTTATAAATGTATAAATCCAGTTTCATGTGTTTTTTTTCATGTTCAATCTATTACTAAGTGTATTTGAGGTGGATACACCAAAAAACAAATAAATAAAAAATGGGCAAAGTCTTAGACCACCTTCTGTTTTGTTAGATTTTTATAATACAATCAAACACTTTAGTTGCCATGAAAGGCTTGCGAATCTACTTATATAATTCATGTCCTATACTAATATAATGTGCTATAATAATGAACTATACTAATATAATTGATAAGCATGATCATGTTTGCTAGTGTCCGCTGCATGAGTGTGGATTTGCAGTCTTCCTTCCCAGGTCTCTTTTGGAGTACACATGGATTCCTCTGCAGGGCTTGGCCTTGAATTTCCCACTCAGTATCATAAAGTGTCAGCCCACTCCTTAGTGAACCTTCAAAGGTTTCAGTCTAACCTCACAGCAACCTCTGAACAATACTGGATCAGCACATACCTTGAGTTAACTGCATCTATCTATCTATCTATCTATCTATCTATTGAAGGGGAAGTCTAATGGTTAGAGAGTCGGACTCGTAACCCAAAGGTTGCGAGTTCGAGTCTCAAGTCTGGCAGGGAGTGAATGTACAGCGCTCTCTTCCACCTTCAATACCACGACTGAGGTGCCCTTGAGCAAGGCACCGAACCCCCAACTGCTCCCCGGGTGCCGCAGCATAAATGGCTGCCCACTGCTCCGGGTGTGTGTTCACGGTGTGTGTGTGTTCACTGCTGTGTGTGTGTGCACTTTGGATGGGTTAAACGCAGAGCACTAATTCCTAGTACGTGTAACCATACTTGGCCACATGTCACGTCACTATCTATCTATCTATCTACCTACCTACCTAGTAATATTTGTAATGAGTAACGTGTAGTAGTATTTTTTTATATTTGGTATTATTAGATATCACCCAAATCTACTGCAGAGATACAGTGGGGAAAATATTTGATCCCCTGCTGATTTTGTAAGTTTGCCCATTTACAAAGAAATGAAGGGTCTAATTTTTATGGTAGGTTTATTTTAATGTATAGAGACAGAATACCAACCAAAAAATCCAGAAAAAACACATTATATAAAGGTATAGAATTTGATTTGCATTTCAGTGAGTGAAATAAGTATGAGATCCCCAAGCAAAACATGACTTCGTACTACTCGAAGTTTCAGCTCCCTCCACAGATTTTTTTTAAGGATTGAGGTCTGGCGACTGGCTAGGCCACTCCATGACCTTAATGTGCTTCTTCTTGAGCCACTCCTTTGTTGTCTTGGCGGTATGTTTCGGGTCATTGTAATGCTGGAAGTCTTCCATCCATTCTGCCATCTTCAGTGTTCTGGCTGAGGGAAGGAGGTTCTCATCCAAGATTTGACAGTACATGGCCCGTCCATTTGCCCCTCAATGCAGTGAAGTCGTCCTGTACCCTTAGCAGAAAAACAGCACCAAAGCATAATGTTTCCACCTCCGTGCTTGACTGTAGGGATGGTGTTCGTCATAGTCAGGATTTCTCTCCCTCCAAACACGGCGAGTCGAGCTAATGCCAAAGAACTCAATTTTGGTCTCATCTGACCACAGTACCTTCTCCCAAGCCTCTGAATCATTTAGATGTTCATTGGCAAACTTTAAACGGGCCTGTAATTCTGTCTCTATCCGTTAAAATAAACCTACCATAAAAATGAAAGACCCTTCATTTCTTTATAAGTGGGCAAACTTACAAAATCAGCAGGGGATCAAATAAATATTTTCCCCACTGTATCATATGCACGCACTTTCATCTGGTAGATTTTCTTGTCTTTGGATGTTAGAGTAACATTTATTAGATATTTTTGTAATACATTTATAATTTATTATGTACCCTTTAAAATTTGGGGTCAGTAAGAGTTTTTAATATTAAAAAAAGGTATATTATGCTCACCAAGGCTGCCTTTATTTAATCAAAAATACAGTTAGTAGTACTACTGTGAAATATTGTTACAGTTTAAATAACTATTTCTGATTTCTATTTGAATATATTATAAAATGTAAATGATGGTAAAGCTGAATTTTCAGCATCATTACTCCAGTTTTCAGTGTCACATGATCCTTCAGAAATCATTCTAATATGCTGATTTGCTGCTCAAAAAACATTTATTACAGCATTTGTTTGAAATACAATTTTTTGCAACAATGTAAAAGTCTTTATTCTCATTTGTGATCAATTTAATGCATTCTTTCTTACAGAATAAAAGTAATTTCTTCTTTAAACTTATTGACCCCAAACTTTTGAGTGATAGTCAATTTGAATGAAGTTGTGCATACGATTTAATTATCATAGATGAATTATTGTATTTGTTCACAAATAGGATTCTTAAAATAAATTGCAATGCTTTGCAGATGATGCACTCTTTCACAGACATCTTAGCAACGTACATGTGCTTTCTGGGAAATAAGGTAATTGCACACTGCCTTCACAAAGAGAAGGCCTATACGTTTTCCTTAATGTGTGTCTCTCTCTCACTGTGGTGTGTGAGACAGCTGGCTGTGGCAGATAGTTGGCTGGTGTTTGAGGGTATAGGATGAAGACATTAAGATTTATATCTATATCTTTGCATTACTGAAAAAGGGTACAAAACTGTCACTGGGGCGGTACCCTTTCAAAAGGTACTAATATGCACACTTTACATACTAATATGTATTATTCAGGTATAAATAAGGCACGAAGATGTACCTTTTAGCTTTTGTATCTTATGGTAACTCCCAATTGAACCTTTCTTTATTGAGAGTGTATGGTTTACTCACACTCTTTATCATAGCTGAACTTACTGTACTTCAATAGAATATGAATATGCAATTTGCATAATGCAGTTCTCCACCAGGCTGTGATACAAAGTATGATCAAGAGAAATTATGTGAACAAATATCTCCTTTTTTATAACATTCAGTAATATACATAGACATATAGGCGTGTTTGAGCTGAAAGAATGATCATGACATGATTTTAAATGCTCATGCCAGTGTCAATTCAGTGAATAAGCTTAGCAAATGTTTGTGTGCTGAAATACTGTGCAAAAGTGCAACGGTGCAAACGGTTTAGTTACTCTAAAAATAACACCACACTTCATATGTAGAAAGTGTATTCGTCCTTTGGTGTTTTGCTAAAATGCTAGATCAGTGTGTAGGGTAGATGAATTCGCTGCTGTGTGGAGCGCAGTTGTAAAGAGAGTCCTGTGCAAGCGAGCTGGACTGTGTTGGAGTCAGATTAAGTGTGTTTAGAGCATGCTGGATCGCAGTATAGATGGTTGGAGACTTACTCTGAGACCCCCCATCCCCCCTCAAACTCTCCCTTACAGTCTAATTATAGTGCAGAATGCGGTAATGTCTGCAAGGCTACCATAATGACACTACCGTCAGTCCAGAGGGAAAGAGAATCCTTCAGTTTTAGAAGTACTGCCTGACTTTTGCAATGAACTTTGTCCTACCATTTCTCACAGTTCACAATAAAAAATCATATAAATTATATTTATTATATTTTAAATATTATATTTTAAATACACTAAATATAATTTAATATTAATTCCATGTTATTATTAAGTGCATAATATTAAATACATACTAAAACAAAATTTTTGTGGTAAATACAATAAATTAATTATACATTTTACAGCATTAAATACAATAAATTACGACTTTGAGATCTATATGGTAATATCATTATAGCAGTGTGATTGACACTGACAATTTACATAAATATAAAAATATTTTTAAAAATATTTTAAAATAAAATAAATATAATGTAATATCGATTACATGCTCTTAGTATTAAATACAAAAATTAAATTTTACAGTATTAAATACAGTAAATTACCTTATATCATTACCATTGTCACTTATATGGTAATATCTTTATAGCAGTGTGACTGACAGTGACAATTTACAAGAATATATTTTAAAATAAATAGAATTTTAGTATTAATTACGTTATTTTAATACATAAATGGTTAATACATAACTTACATAATTATATTATTGAATACATACTAAAATGCATTTTAATATTAAATGCAATAAATTACATTTTAAAGCAATAAATACAATAAATTACCTTGCAAGATAACTGCCATTGTCATCTACTGGATAGTAATATCGTTATAGCAGTGTGATTGACAGTGACAATTTACATGAATATAAAATAACTGTATTTTAAAAAATAAAATAAACTTTTTATATTACCATTTTACAGAATTAAATACAGCAAATTACATCAGCCACTGTCACCTATATCGTTATAGTGATTGACAGTACAGTGGATCGTAGGCTACATTAATTGTTTTCCGTTATATAATTGTGTTTAAAGACTCTTTTATGTTACAGTATTTATGTTATTATTCCTTTCTATCGGTGACATTATTGCGCTGCAGCAGAAGCGTCTAATGTGCATGTAAGATGTAGACAGGCTTAGGTTCAGTGTGTTCCAGCACTTCGC